CCTGCCAGTCTTTATGGGAGCAGAAAACCTCATCTTCCTTCTGAGGTGCAGCTGGTGTGTGTGAGTGCTGTGAGTGTGCCCTGGCACGATGGCGGCGGGGCTACAAAAATGAAAAAGAGTGAACGTAACTGGAAGATCATCAGATGGGAAGAAACTGAGCAAACAACTCCCTGAATAAACCCAGGAGTCAGGAAAATTCACAGGGCAAAGTAGAAAATAATTTGAACTGAGTAGTGGGGAAAAAATTTGTGTAGGGTGCAGCTAACATAGTCCTTTGAGGGAAATTTATGTTTTTTCCCCAACTATAACTCCCCCTACCCCCCCCCACCAATGGAAAAAAATCAGGCTCACTGCCATTGAGTCAGTGAGACTCATAGCACCTATGGGTAGGGTAGGATTCCCCCTAAGGGTTTCTGAGACTGTAGCTCTTTACAGAAATAGAAAGCCTCATCCTTCTCCCTCGGAGGGGTTAGTGGTTTCGAACTGCTCATCTGTGTCTTGCATCCCAGTGTGTAACCAACTTGCTCAGCCACGAGGCCTTCTTATAGCAAAGCAGAGGTTCAAAGTCAATGGCATTTAGGTTAAAAACAAAAACAAAAACCATTGACATTTACTTTCTCCTTAAGAAACTAGAAAAGAGAACAAATTAAACTGAATGTAAACAGAAGAAAGGAAATCAGTGAAACTAAAGATACTTTGTGTCAATCCATCTTGTTCTTTGTTTTTCATTGTCCTGCTACTTTACCAAGCCTGTTGCCCTTCTCCAGGGACTGGTCTCTCCTGCAGCAAATTCTCACTTCCCCCCAATTTTGCATACCATATATACTCGTGCATAAGTCAAGTTTTTCAACACATTTTTAAATGCAGTTATTGTGGTAAATTAGGTACCTTGGCTGATATTGGTTTATACTTGAATATATATGGTGCCTTACAAGATAATCAAGGATGCATGTTCGCTCGTAAGTTTGACACCTCGGATGAGGTTCATTCCTTAGAAACGGACGCAACTTTGACACTAAAAGAAATGAAAAAACAAACAAACCACTTCTCACAAAGAAAACTCCAGGCCCAAATGACCTCTCTATTGAGTGTGCTGAGAAATAATGCCACCTCTAGACAAACTCGTTAGAAAAGAGAGGAGGAGAGAATGCTTCCCAATTCAACTTTGACCTGTATAAAAACAAAGCCAAAAAGTAAGTACTGAGTGGGACATGGACACACCCACAGGCCCGCCCCCTGAATCATAAAAATCATAGGCAATCACATCCAGCATGCTGTAGAATGTGGTTTATCAGAGAAAGGCAAAGCTGGTTTTACGTACAAAAACCCATCAAAAGAAGCCATGTCATCGTAGGTAAAGTCAGAAATCCACGTGAAAATTAAATGTGCGATTCAGGCAGCCTTCCGAGTTGGCACGGTGTTCGTTGTCTTGAAAAATGATGGCCGTGGAGGATATACTCTTTTCTGTGCTAGCCCTGGTGATGTAGTGGTTATGTGTTGAGCTACTAACCGCAAGATCAGTGGTTCGAAACTACTAGCTGTGCTGCGGGAGAAAGACGGGATTGTCTACTGTTTGTACAGAGTTTCCGTCTGGGAAACTGGGAAGTTCTGCCTTTCCCTGTGGGGTCACTGAGCTGGCACCGATTGGCTTGGTGGCAGATGGCAGGCAATAGCAGTGCTCGGCTGGAAACATGACCTGGTTCTTTTGAACTCTCTCCCTAAAAAAAACAAACCAGAACATTCACTACCTTCGACTTGATTGAGAGACCCTGCAGAGCAGGGGAGAACTCCCCTGTGGTTTCTGAGACGAAGCTTCGCAGGAGTAGAAAGCCTCTCGTTTCCCCCTTGGAAAGGCTGGTGGACCCCAACTGCTGACGCTGTGGTCAGCAGCCCACCTTGTCACCCACTGCGCCAGTCCCCGACTCTGGACTCGCCGACTTTATCAATGATTTGAAGATGTGGTTCGTTCTGTTGAACTTGCTCATTTCCGTGTAGTGTCTTTACCGTGCACATAGCTTGCATTTCTTTCTTTTCTTTTTGTTAACAGTTTTATTGGCACTTTGTCCACTTCCATTTCTTTAATTAGGGGTGTGCTTCTCAATTCCATTGATAATGCTTGGGCCCTGTGGGGGACACAGAGGAGGGCTCTCCTGCATTGCAGGCTTCTCGGAGCTCAGGCGGGGGACATGGACCTAGATTCCCCACGACCCATCACTGTGGCCAGCCAAGCAGGGTGGGGTGCAAAGTAGCACAGAGGTGGAGGGGTGGCTGGGAAGGACCAGAAGGACCATGGCTGGGAAGACTTCTTGAGGGGGTGGTAACTGGTCGGGGGGTGGGGGAGAGGAAGGAACACCAGGCGGTGGGCTCCTGGTGAGGGGCCACAGTGGAGGGAAAGTCGCTGTGGAGCAGGAGGCGGCCAGTGCCGCAGGAGATGCTGCGTGTGGAGTTTTGGGGCAGTCAGAGTCAGCGGTGGAGATGACTCACAGGAGGTCGTCCCTGGAGAGCCCAGGGCAGCCGCTCACTGGGGAAGGCTGCCTGGGTGCTGAGGCCCTACTGTGTGGCTGCTCTGT